TGCCAGCTTGAGATGTATTTCCCACCTTCATTTTTTGATATCATGGTTCATCTAATATCTCATATTGTTAGAGAGATAAAGTATTGTGGGCCGGTATACCTACGATACATGTATCCATTTGAGAGATATATGGGTGTCTTAAAAAGGTATGTAAGGAATAAATATCGACCAGAGGGTAGTATTGTTGAAGGATACGCTACAGAGGAGGTAATTGAATATTGTACGGACTATTTACAAGGTGTTACAAGTATTGGCATACCGAAATCTCGACACGAGGGAAGACTTGTAGGATATGGGACAATTGGATTGAAACGGGTAACTCCAAAGAAAGAAGACTTGCATCTGGCACATTTTACAGTCCTACAACATATGACGATCATTGCTCGATACGTGAACGAGCACAAAAGATATATAGAAATGTCGAATAGTGGTAAGAGCAAAAGATGGTTGATTACAGAACATAACAAAACATTCTCACAATGGTTAAAAGACAAAGTGAAAGCAAGTTATGGCGTGAACAATGTTGATCAAGCTGTGGTACATCTAGCAAATGGTCCCGAACATGTCGTGGCAACGTACCAAGGGTACGACATTAATGGTTATACATTCTACACTAATCAACAAGATAAAAAAAGTACGCTTCAAAATAGTGGAGTAACGTTAATAGCATCAACAGAATTATATGGAGATAATCACGATGCAAGGTCAAGGATAGCTAAAGAGTCATATTATGGTGTCATTCAAGAAATATGGGAATAAAATATGAAACCATCATTATACCTATGCTCAAGTGCAAATGGGTTGACAACCAACGAGGTGTTAAAGTTGACAATGATGGGTTTACAATTGTTGACCTTTCCACAAATGGGTATGTATCAGAACCATTCATTCTAACTAAACAAGCTAGCCAGATATTCTATGTTGAGGACCCAAAAGACTCTAAAAAGCACATCGTCATGCATAGAAAACGGCATATACTTGGTGTTGATGATGTTGTGGACGAGGAAGAGTACGATCAGTTTGACGAGCTACCCCCATTTTCTATCGGCATTCCATCTTCAAATGATGAGGTTGACGACACTACTTACTTAAGGTCAGATCACAATGAAGGATTATGAGTGTCATAAAACCATGTACTTTGAAAGGTAATAAACGAATTATTTGATACAAAATAAACAAATATGATTATAAATTTGTAGTAATCTAGTACAACCATTGTATTAACATATTTTCTTTTATTTGCAGGAAAAAATCACGACAGAATACATTACAATATCAAATACCAAATATGCGTAACAAAATTTCCAAACTAAGTTTGTTTAGATTTTATTTAATGTACTTCAATATTTTAGGTTCAGTTTGACTTTGAATGTGGTACCTTGCTTCGAGTTATGTTCTGAGAGGATCTTGGTGTTTGATACTTATAGTTCATGGATATGTGATGTGATGATTTGATACTATGATGCTTGATGATTTTTGGCTTTAATTAAATGAGTTTTAAATTGAAATTTTTGTTTCGAAAATTTACGTTGTTACATCGAGTTATCCCCAAACTCACTAAGTTCTTCCTGTTCAATAGAATCGGGACTTTTTGAACCAACTCCTCGAGTCCCTCCTTGAAATCGTCGAGTTCGTCCTTGTCACAAAATCGGGCCATTATGAATCAACTCGTCGAGTTCCTCTATAAACTCGTCGTGTTATTTTAACACTTCTTGATGCATTAAGCCCTAGTTCTTCAAGACTAATCCCTATACTCCAAATCTGAACTGGAAATGACCCTAAGAGGGTAAAGTCTCCAACTTTACTCGTTAATACTCTTCCTAAGGAGGTTGAGCTCAAACCTAACCCTAAATAGACCAAAGTCTTGGTCCAAGGACAACCAAAACTGCAAAATAGGCTATGATATCACAAATCTGAACCCTAGGGACTACATGAGCACATAAAGTCCCGACTTTCTCTTCATGCATGATCATTAGAAACTCCAAAAAATCGAAATGGAGGTCAAAGGGCTGCATGAGACCTTTATGGCCATAAAGTTGGCACCTTTATGACATGAAAACCCTTATAGACCTCAGATCTGAAGTATAAACTCCTTTGGGATGTCCAACTCCCAAGGAACATGAAACTTGGATCCAAACTAAACAAAATAGTCCCAAAAGAAGATCTCAATAACTACAAGGAAAGATTCAGACTTTATACCAGCAATATGTCGAGGATGAAGCTAGGATTTTGGATCTACAAACTTCCTCTTGCTCCTCCATGATCCTCTTTCTCCCACAAGCTCCAAGCACACAAAATCTCCTTCAAAAATGGCACACAACTTGAGCAATTGCATTAGGGTTTCTAGATTTAGGGTTTGGGACTTGGGGGTTGGAAAGTGGCCAACATGAAAGGTTTAAGATGTTAAAATAGGGCGCAAAACCCTAAGATTAGGGTTTCTCATCTGCCAGCCTACTCGTCGAGTTCAGGCTACCAACTCGTCGAGTAGGTTCCTCAAAACCTGTGACCCAAGCAATCTCTACTCGAAAAGTTTGGGGCTACCAAATCATCGAGTTGCCCTATGAAAATGAATAACTTAGGGTTTTAAATACGTACCAGGATCCAGACGTTACATATAGGAATTGAAATTTGATACCATCATTATGCCTGTGCTAAAGTGCAAAGGTGTTGACAACCAACGAGGTGTTAAAGTTGACAATGATGGGTTTACAATTCTTGACCTTTCCATAAATGACTATGTATTGGAACCATTCATTATAACTAAAAAACCTAGCCATATTATCTATGTGAGGACCCAAAGGACTTGAGAAAGCACATCGCGATGCATGACAAATGACATATACTTGGTGATGATAGTGTTGTGGATGGGGAAGAGTACGATCAATTTGACGAGCTACCCCCATTTTCTATCGACATTCCATCTTCAAATGATGGTGTTGATGACACTACTTACTTAAGGTTGGATCACAATGAAGGATTATGGATGTCATAAAACCATGTACTTTGAAAGGTAATAAACCAATTATTTGATACAAAACACACAAATATGATTATAAATTTGTAGTAATCTAGTACACCCATTGTATTAACATATTTTGTTTTGTTTGCAAGACAAGACGACAACAAAATACATTACAATATAAAATAACGAAGACGCGTCACACAGTCTTCCGAACTAGCTAGTCAGTTTGTTTAGATTTTATTTAATGTATTTCAATATTCTAGATTCATTTTTGACTTTGAACACATTACTTTGCTTTGTCAATAGTTTTAGTATAATAGGATTTCGATGCAATATTGTTTTGTCAACTCTTATATTTATACGATTTTTTTAATAAAATAGTTTCATGTTTAAATTAAATAAACAATTATTTATAATATAATTATGTAAGATGTTAACATAAAATTAAATATTTAAATATTATTTTGGTCTACAAAACTTAAAAAACATGTATATAATATTACACTTCTTATTTTGAAGATTCCCAACTTTATATACTTTCTTTTGGTAATTTTCAAATTTTATATGGCCATACGGGTGTTAAGATTTAATAAGAATTAGTGATCTTATTATTCGAAACAAAATCAAACTTTGATATATATTTGCCATTTTACCATTTATATCTACGCTCTGCCCTTTGTTTTCCAAATAAAACAATACCGCCATCAATTTTCATTATCCCGCCATCAATTTTCATTATCCCGCCATCAATTTTCATTATCCCGCTCTTTGACCCTGTACACGATTTTGAAGATACTATCTGATAGAACTTTGGAAAACAACAACCGAACACACATACTCTCTAAAGCAACTTGAAATCGAAGTTTTATCGCTGCTATATTCACTAGAGCCAGGCTACGCTATCGAGGTATAATTTCGACTAAAACTCGTTCTTTATATGAAGTTATGGAATCCATTTACGTGACAGGAATGTCCGATCCTTTTTTTGTTTGGTTTAATTTATGCGTTTTTTGATTACCGTTGATTATTTGTTGGTGCTTTCTATCCCACTTCTATTCTCAATCTTAACCTCGTATTGCTGTTTCATTTTTTCATAATCAATCTCATTTGCAATTGTTGATAAGTTTCAAGTCATGTGGGCAATTGTTATTGCTGGAAAATGGTAAATGTTAAGGATTATTTTATTATACCTTCCGGTGTTTGATGTTATGCCTATATGACTAGATCGCAACAAATTGGGTCTCTTTGATCACGAATAACAATATTTGAGTGTTTTCTAGCTTACAACCCACAGAAACCAAACAAAATGCTAAACCCACTCCAATCCTGTGCAGCAACCCAAGTCAACAGGAAACATCAGGCAACATTTTATTAAGTTCAAGTCACTTGAAATTGGAACTGAAACCTAGTAGGGGCCTTTATATCTCTTAGGTATTAATAGAATTTTATATTTATTTTAATGAATCCATAGTTTGGGTGAATTGTTTTTTTGATGCTAAGAAATAAAAATCAAATATGTTATATGTATGAATTGAAATACAAGTAAAATGCATACATCTTGTGATTATGAATTTGTATTAGGTGACAAGTGATTTTATACATGCTATTTCAGCTTATATAGATGAACACATTGTTTGTACTCTAAACTTTATATGATTTATTTGCTAACTAATTCAAAGACTGCATTATGGAGCACCATGTGAACAATTGAAATTTTGACACTTGTTTAAAAAGCAGCTACTGTAACAACACATGAAGTGTAACATTTATGATGTCTCATATTATTTTGTATATATTTCCTCCAGAATAAACATGATGAATGATCAGCACAACAAGAAGTAGAACCACAACCACAGCCACAACAAGAACCAGAACCAGAACTACAACCACAGCCACAACCACAAATGAGGAAAAAAAGAACAGCCACAAGACTAGTCGACCATAAAAGCCACAAGAAGTTGATTTCAACAATATTGGTCAGCATGTTGGGAAGAAACAAAGTAAGTTTGCTAACGAGTGTGGTGTTATTACGAGGTCGATGATTTCTGTTGAATATACGAGTTGGAAGAAAGTGCCAATTGCTCAAAAAGATATGCTATGGTCGGCAATTAAGGTTTGTTATCTACATAAGACCCATTACATGTACTTTCATCTAATCAAGATGTGTTACTAATACTTAGTATCCTTATTCTATAACAAAAACAGAAACGTTGGAATATTCCAAACGACGACCGTAAAAAAGATGTGCTTAAAACATGCAACAGCCAGTGGAGAGCCTTCAAGAAAAGGCTTAAAAAGAAATGTGATAACCAAAGAGATCCACTTGAGACCTACTCATATTTGGAAAGAAGCACATTGCAGAGCTTTAGACAGAGAATATCATCAGAGGAGTTCCAAGTGTGTTGGACTTTAATTGCACGTAATTATATTACTTATTGTGTTTCATTTTTTTAACTGTGTTAATTAATTTCATTTGCAGGAGATAAGTGAGAAAGCGAGGGCGAGTTCAATGCATAATAAGAATCCTGCTCGTGTAGGACCACTTGGTTACAGGGGCAAGAAAGCTGAGTGGGAACAAGAGATGGCATCTGGTCAATTGACACCTCAATTGTATCAGATAAAAAGCGAGCGTTCACTGCATTATGTTTTGGGTAGAAGATCTAAAAATGAGTTGGGGTTGAACATAATACCGCCTACCATACAACCCATAGTAGACAAGCTTGTAAGTAAATACGTTTATTCATTTGTATTCATGTAATTACTCTTACTGGTTTGCTGATTTTGTTAACAGGTTGATGTCCAGACTCAAATCTCTGAAGGAGATTTGGAGCTCAATCCAGGAGAGGACTTGTTGACAAAGGTAATAGGACCGGAGCACCCGGGCCGTACCAGGGCTGTTGGTCATGATGTTGGATTGAGAAAAGGGATGCAAGGGACTGATAAAAAAAGAGGAAAAAACATGAAAATGAAACTATTGTTAAACTGCAGACAACGATAGATCTGATGGGCTCCCAATTGGCAAAGCTACAAGCACACTTTGACTTACAATAGGGGTCTAGGAACCATGCCCCAGATGATGTAAGCTTAGGGGTTCAAAAAAATAATTGTGGCTCGAGTCCAACATTAGATGCTTTGGATGCGATACAGGTAATTGAGTGTATTTGTTTTCCGGTAACATCTAGAAACAATAAAAACTAAACCTGTTAACCCATTTGTAGAGAAATTATGCTTAGGACTAAGGATGAGCAACAAAACTGAATACTAATGTTTATCTAATTGTTTTTTAAGTGATAATATACTTGTTTAACTGATTTAACTAATTTTTTTTCTTGGATGTTAAATATTTTTTGATTCCATATCATCAGAAGTGGTACTGTATTTCTTTGTATATTCTTATAATTGCATAAATTATTTTAATATAATATTTGTGATAGAAAATGCAACATTGTAAGAATTGTGTTTTAGACAAAAGACTCTAGTTTTTTAATTAAAATGTTTTGTTAGAAGGTTTTGAACTATAATAGATATACTTAAAATGGTTAAAAATTCAAATATAGTTATTACATTATTATGCATTTTATTTATTTATTATCCTTCAGAGAGCTTTTATTTTTATTATTGTTTTACTATGTGTACAGATGCCTACCCCTTGTGAATTGGTGTTACCCTATGGGGAGTTGGACCAAAAATGTGCTAAGGGATTGGTCTTTCCATATGGGAATGGGTTAATACACACATTGCCTTTACGAGAAAATCACCTGAAGGTTCTGATAGACGACATCGATAGTAGATATGAAAATTTTCCTGTTCCTGTGATGACAAAAGAAGTTGCTAACCTACAAGGGTCGGTTGGCACTGTAATTCAATGGCCCCGGATTGCAATTATTCCTGCAAAGGTACATATGCATTACCATTTACTTTTTAAGCTAATATATAAACAACAAATTATAATTGTATTTGATAGTTAAATGAATTAAAATGTAGGAACAAAGAGCGAAGAAACAAATCCCAACCACAAGTTTGGTGCCAACAATTTCAAGGGCTAGTACAAAAAAGAATATACCCAACCAAACATCCAACAAGGCGAGGCCGATTGAATATCTTCGTGATTGCTTGAAGACCAACCAAGTGGTTAACATTGTATCCGATTCTGGGATTTTGGAAGTCGGGACATATGATTTTTCGGTTACATGTGAAGAATATTTTCGATTGCTGAGAAACAAACAATTGATGCTTCCATCATAACTGCTTGGCAACTGTAAGTCCATAAAATTTTTGCTATTGTTAGGTGACCATAACATTTTTTGTTTTCTTGTTTGTAGGATTCTTCATTCAATGGTTCGGACACGTATGAACAAATGTGCTTTCCTGAACCCTTATAATATTCTAGGAGAGTCATGCCAGAAAAACCCAGAGGGTGTCGTTAGTTATCTTGTTGATTCCATTCGTTGCACCACGGAAAATTGTTTCTCATTGCACCATATTTGCAAAAGTACAATAATTTCTTATCTTTATTATTATTATTTTTTTGTTTTTTTCCTTATTATTTATACTAAATGTTTAAACATTTCTAGTAAGCATTGGGTGCTCTTGGTGATTTCCCTTCGCAATCGCGTTGTCTATATTTTGGATTCTCTTAAGGATCGTATAGAAAAGTCTGTCGACTACCATTACCTGCTCAAAAAACATGTGGACATGTAAGAAATTACTTACGTCATAGCAAGATATAAATATTTTTATTATTTTGAACACAACACTTGTTTATTTCTTTTAAGGGCTTTCATGAGGTATGAAAAAAACACTTCAACTCCAATTGGCTGGATTTTTGCTGAGGTAATTCATCTTGTTATATACCAAAACAAATAGTTGTTGTAGTTTCATTTGTGTGATTAGTGTTTACTTTTTGTTACAATTTTTAGTGCAACCAACAACTTGGTGGTTTAGAGAGCGGACATTATGTTATGCGTTGGATGTTTGATTTCTTGACGACAAGACAACATGGATTTCCAAGTAAAGTAAGTACCTTTTTAATATTTGTTGGTTTTGTTTATTGCAACAAAATATTTGGTTTGTTAATGAATATGTTGAATTTTACATTTAATATAGTCCGGTAGCATTTGGGATGACAAAAGTCCCTTTGAAGAAAAGATGTTGGTTGCAACTGTTGCTACCTGGTCTAGAGAATTTTTGAATAACTATATGAATGATGTGGTCCTATAAAAAACATATATGGTTAGTTAATGAATTCCAAAACTTCCTAATTTTGGTTTAATTATTTTTGTTGGAGTTCTTACATTTTTACTTTCATTTGTTTATTTTTCAGGGAATTTAGAAGAAACAACCACTACAATTGATTGTTTGGACAATCCCTATGCCAAGTCATGACAAATGTTTTTTTTTTCTTTTTTTATCTGTAAGTTTTCATGCAAGTTGTATGATGTATGAAATTACCAAATCCATGATTTCTTTTGCTACTTAGACAATTATCTTTGTTTGATTATATTTTAATCAATGACTATTATGGTTTATTTAACATTTCCACATAAAAAACATTGTTTATTTTTACAATATGTGTTATAAATTGATAGTTTATAAGTATTGTACTGTTGTTTTTATAAAATGATATTAAAAATATATAACAATGTTAAAAGGAACCGGTTGCTTATTTAGAAACCAGGTTCTAAACCTACTCTGTAAAAAAGGGTAAAAGTTTATTATGACCCGGTTGTTTGTATGAACCGGTATATATTTTGTTTTCATATGCCCCGGTTATATTGGAGGGAACCGGTTCTAATATTCCTAGATAGTTAGCACAGGGAGTGTTATATGACCCGGTTATGTAAAAGCAAACCGAGCTCTATTTGTAATAAAAAGACCCGGTTTAGAACCGGGTCCTATTCCAGATTTCACATAGGACTCGCAAGCATCAAACCCGGTTGCAAAACCGGCTTCTTTAAGCTATTTAACCGGGTCTTTTAGCGCTTTTTGTAGTGGTAGCTTACAAAAAGTTGAAATACAGCCGACTTTATCTCAAATTTTTACTCATTTTAAAAACCACTAACATATGAAGGTCGATACATATGAAAGTGGGGCAAAAAAGGAGGTCAAGAGTAGATACTTTTATCCATTACCACCTTTCATGTTGGCCGATGATAGAAATGATGCATATTTTTATGGCCACCTTCTCACGGTCTTCTTCTTACTCTATTTTTTATTTTTATTTTTATTTTATTATTATTATTATTATTATTTTACTTTAAAACAATAAACATGCATGTTATTAGTACTTCAAAAAGCTCCCAGTAATTGTAGCAACTCTTGCTTTCCTTTTAGTATCTTGTCTATCCGTCGAACTATCATATATCATTCTAATTTATGCTCAAACTAACAATAAACTACTTTTAACGTTGTAACGTTTTTTAAAACGTTCATTTTTATTTAAAAAATCAAAGGTAAATCTGATCATTACAGATCTATCATTTTCATTTTGCACTAAATGAAAATTAACATATATTTAAGGGGCTTAAAGACAAAATGATAATCTCTACGGAAATTAAAAAATTCAATCGGTATGAAACTTGGATCACCTGTATGGAAATTAAGGGGCTTAAAGCACCACATGATAAATAAATAAATAAATTAGTTAAAAAAAATTTAAAAATAAAATAAAATAAATTAAAAAAATTAAAAAAAAAAAAAAAAAAAAAAAAAAAAAAAAAAAATACACACTTGAAAAATGAATCTATCTCTTCTAATAAACATGACAACTTTCTACCCAATGCTTTGCCACGAGGATCTTTTTCAACTTCCGCTCATTCTAAAAACCTTTGCCAATTCAATTTTTATCCTTTTATTCTTTTTCAAAATCGCATAAAAATTATATCACTTTCCACGTTGAACCCGAAAAATCAATCATTTAATTAGTGAAATCAATAAATTTCACATTTTCTATGTAATACAATAATTTTTTTTAAGTATGAATATTGATCATTCAAATAGTCGTAATTCTCGTTATAGTTTTAATTTTGAGCTCTACAATACTGAGTCTTTTAAGCTTCTTCACTATGATAAGTTGATACATAAAAAACCTTTCAAAATATTGTTGTTTGATTCGTTGGATATTGGTCTTGACTTTTACAAGACTTATGGTCAAGAATCTATTTTTTGATGTGAATATGTAAAGTCAAAACAAGATACAATTATGGCACAATTCGTCTTAGATATTCCACATGTAGTAGATCTAGTTTCACGGAGTCCTTCAAGAATGAAAATATTAATGTAAACTTTTCAGATATTAAGAGAAGGAGAACTTCTTCTAAGAAGAATGGATGCCATGTTGTTTCAAAGTTCAAGAATCTCCAATGTTCTTTAATGTTCTAAATATATGTGTTTCTTGAAGATCACAACCATGAACTTGTTGCTCAAGATTAGTTGCACTTATTAAGGATTATAGGACTATCGATTTTCTTGATGAATCCTTTATAGATAAGGTTAGTACTTATAGTATTGGTGCTTCAAAAGCCTATAACTCCGTGAGTAGTATGAAGGGCGGCTTTGATTCTAGGGGAGGGACTGCGGTCGACTTTAAAAAATTTCATAGAGATTTGAATTCTAAAATTGGTGCCAAAGATTCCTAAATGGTTGTGGATATATTGACAAACATAAAATTGTGTTTCACTGATTTTTCATTTGAGGTCCAAAAAGATGTTGATGATCATCTTAGTGGACTTTTTTGGGCTGATGATACTTCGAAAGCTAACTATAAGGAATTTGAAGATGTACTATCTTTTGACGCTACTTATAAAAAAAACAAGTAATTTTGAATCCTTATTTGTTCTTTTTGATGATATTTGTTCTTTTTAATGATACTTATAAAAAAAATTAAGGTATTCTATGGTATTTGTTCTTTTTACTGGAGTTGACTACCACAAGCATTGTCACAGCCCCAAACCAAGGATGGCGGAAACGTCCGGGGGTAGAGGACTTCATGTATAGTATCATAACAACAATTGCAATAGTGATTAAAGTAAACACAACCAACATAAGTATAATTGAAAGAGTTACATCATTGTATAAGTTTACATGTTTCCAAATCAATTACATTATGTTGACAAAAATGAAATGTTCGACGCCTTAACGTCCCATCCTCAAAAGCACTTGGTTACCTGTTTAGTGATTTCCTGAGAATACAAGTTGTTTTGACCGGTTTGACTTGTTGAATTTGTTTGACTTTGACTTGACCAGAATTTGACGGTTGTCACATCATCCTCCCGTTAGAAGGAATTTTGTCCCGAAATTTGCATTTTGGCTGGAACTTCAAGAGTTCGGGAAGAGATGTGGGTATTTTTGTTTCATTTGGTCCTCGCGTTCCCAGGTGAACTCGGGTCCTCGTTTTGCATTCCAACGAACCTTCACAATGGGAATACGACTTTACTTTATTCTTTTAATCTCCCGATCCATGATCTCAACCGGTTCTTCCACGAAGTGGAGATTCTCATTAACTTCGATTTCCTTGAGTGGTATTACGAGGGTGTCGTCGGATAGGCACTTTTTCAAGTTTGATACGTGGAAGGTAGGGTGTACGTTATTAAGTTCTTGTGGTAGTCGGAGTTTGTACGCCACGGGACCATTCCTAGCAAGGATTTCAAACGGTCCGATGTACCTTGGGTTTAGTTTCCCACGTTCACCGAAACGTATCATTCCTTTCCAAGGGGAAACTATCAGTAGTACTCGATCACCGACCTGGATTTCCAATGGTTTGCATCGTTTATCCGTGTAACTCTTTTGCCGATCTCGATATGCTTTCAGCCTTTCCCGAATTTTAACGATCTTTTCTGTGGTCTCCCTTATGATTTCAGGACTAGTGAGGGTGCTATTAGGGACTTGCCCCCTAGCTAGCTGTGTGTCCCCCACTTCTGCCCAACATAGGGGTGATCAACACTTGCGACCATAAAGAGCTTCGAATGGAGTGACTTTGATGCTAGTATGATAGTTGTTATTGTAGGAGAATTCGATAAGTGGTAAATGGGTATCCCATGCTTTGCCAAAATCTATCGCACAGACTCTCAACATGTATTCTAGCGTTTGTATGGTTCGTTCGCTCTATCCGTCGGTTTGTGGATGGTAAGTCGTACTCATGTCAAGCCTAGTCCCTAGAGATTTTTGTAAAGACTATCAAAATCGTGAAGTGAATCTACTATCTCTGTTAGAGATAATGGATATTGGCACTCCATGAAATCGTACAA